ATCCACGGGGGTGTTTATTGATACAGATAAGGGTGGCAAAGGCAAAAGTATATGAGGCAAAGGTTGGAATTATTGAATTGGCAAAAAAATGGGAGGCAGGTAAGTTTGTCGGGGGTACAAAACTGATGAGAATGAAAGCTGAAGTCTTTTCTCACCGTTTTATGTAGGCACAACACAGCAGCAACGTATGAAGGCTGTGATGACTACAAAACAGACAATCTTTCGAACGAAGTGGAAGACCTTTCATGATCTTGTTGTAAAGTACAACCTTTTGTATCCAGACGAAACCCCGCTGATCAACTTTACGCTGGAGGAAGCAAAATCGTTGACTCTGGATGACGCCTTCTGGAACTTTGGGCATCTCACGCATCCAGATGAAAATTGGGCGGTGGATGCAGACACCCAGAAGGGCATTCAAGCTTATTTGTTGTATTGCCGGTGCGAAGAGGAACTGAGGCGGATTGCACATGAGGTACGACAGATGTTTAGATGGTCTCTGGAAACGGACACCAAAATACAAAAGGTGTTCATGCTTGCACAGTCAGGTTAGCCTTTCTTTGGATGATACTTGATTGTTCTTTCTGTTACACTGAATTTGACTATACTTCTTTATTTTTTGTATACTCAGGATGGGACCCAACCGCCATGGTTCTTCCAATAGAATTAGTGCAGGGCAGCAAGGCATCTCGGATTGTTAACAAGACAAATTGGGAGGAGTGCAGCGATACCTTGGAGTCTTTATATCATGGGCTCTTTCTTGATCATGCCCGTCTGATCTTTAGATGGGACATCTACCTAGTGTCCCTTCTGCACAACACTCGGCAATATTCTGAAGCCAGTATTGCCGAAGACCAAGTTTTGGAGGCTCAGTGGAAGAACATGCTACATACCACTCTTAATGGATGATTATTTAAGATTTCTGTTTCAACATTAACAATTACATTTGTTGGAAAACAATGAGAATGGTGGAATAGTATTTCCTGACTGACAACGGTGTGTGATATATAGGAAAAGTGAGAGAAGTCAGATTTCTGCTTTTTATGTTTAATGGTTGAGGACGCAGAAAGAGTGTTGAAGGGAGGGGCAGATGAACCCAGATGAGACTGCCCCTCAAAGTCTTACCATATGTATTAGCCCTGAGCGAGTAAAAGCTGTGTGAGAGAAGAGGGGTCAGATGAGGCCAGATGAGAGTTCCCCCGAGTTGTTGCACGTGGATATCGCTATGTATCTGAAGTCTCCATGTAGAATGGTGTTCGGAATGTATGGGGTAAGTCAGATTATGAATCAGTTGGACTTGTATGTACGACTACGTACAGTGCTCGGTAAACAAAAACAGACTCATCTGGGACTTGTATGTACGGTGCTTGGTAAACAAATGCAGACTCATCTGCTGAAGCTGCGGTGTCAACTGGTTGATGAATGTGTGGCCAGATGAATCTGAGAAGTTGGTTTGAAAAAATACACAGGCCAGAGTCCAGTCGGCTGCCAGACTCAGTCAGATGAATCTAGGCTTAGCCAGATTCGGTCAGATGAGCCAGATTGTGAGCTTGAGCGCGTTTATCCCTCTTAGAGGTGTCTGATGACAGTGAGATGGGCTAAAAATTTCTGAATACATCCCAATGGGTGTTCAGAACATAGAAAAAGTCATATGATATCATAACTTGATGAGGTAAATTTGTGGAAACTTGGAAGCTATTTTTGAAAAATTTTCTCAGACTACTCTGGCAGCTCTGGCCTCATCTGCGACCCAATTTTGGGATACTATCCCATGATAATGCACGCATTATCTTCGGTTCGGGGCCGAGTAATCTAGGGGCCACAGGTGCGTCTAGTGATGATTTTTTTCACAACCAGATCTTCATACAGTAAATCGCATCTTTCTTCGAACTGAATGAAATCAAATCCTTCTCGCACCAATGGCCCATCTAAACGGCGTGTAGACTTCAGTTCCGGAAGGAGACCTAAGACCATGTGCGAAGCCAAGGTGAAGTCATCGATCTCCACCTGGTCGTGGTTCATGAGAGACTGTATAGATCTCGCCCGGGTGCTGAAAAACTTGAATTCTTCGTTTACCGACATCTTGAGCGTGAGAATCTTCTCTCTGAGCTTGTCGTTCCAATCAGAAGGTAGGGCAGTTCGGAAAAGTTTTTCCTTGAACTCAGACCAGGTCATCGTTTTGAAGTTGTCGATGTTATGAGCCCAAAATGCCTGTAAGTTGGTCTCAAGCAGGTAGGAGCCAGTCAAGATGATTCGATCCGAATCCTTTTCGATCCTCTTGACTAAGAAGAAGATTTTTAACGAAGTAAACCATTTCAAAAAGGCCTCCGTGTCACGGTAGGGTCCTTTGAATTGGGGTCCCTCCGATGATTTGAATCGGGAAAGGTCCAATCCACGGTTCTCCAGTTCCACAGGTGGTGAAGAAGTTTGCTGAATTGGTGCATTCAGTTGAAAATTCAAGAGCCGTTCTTCTAGCTCTGCCACTCGTTCCACAGACTCCTGCACTGCCCTGACGCGGTCTTCTTCCAATCGTGCGATACGTTGGGCAGACTTGTTTGCTGCTTGCAGTCCAGCGTGTTGAGTCGCGAGTATAGCGCGGAGCAATTCATCTGTTGACGGGGGAATCGGGGTCGTAGACCCGTCGCTTCTTCCCGTCATCTTGGTGGTAGTCTGAAGGGGAGACGGGTGAATAGGCCTAGATGACCTTTCGCTGACGTCTAACTCGAGTCGTTTGACTTCTGTTTGTACCCGTTTTAAGGGTGAACGAGATGAAACAGGTGAGTGAGGGAAGGTGCCCGGTAAGGTGGAAGTACTTCGTGACGCGACAGGTGATGTCGGCGGTAAGTATGGTCTGCTGGTAGCCGGTTGTACTGCGGGTGGAAGATTGGCGAATAGAACCTTATCTGATGTATACCTTCCCGCTTCTTCGATGGATCGCTGATGAAAGTGCGGAGAAGTTGAAGGTTGACGTAAGATGGCTTCGGGGTTATCAACACGAGGTATGATGTCTATAGGTACGCTACGAGTTGATCGTGTGGGGTTCATAAATGGTAATACGAAACGATGAGAAGAGTTCTAATGCAGGTTTCTTTTTTTGTAGATAAGATTCAGTTAAAATATGAAGTATGAAAATCCGGGATCTTTTAAGTTTAAGAACTAAGTTCTTCTGAAGTAATCGAAGTCGTTTGGAAGGTAAAGGTGTAGGTTCGAGAAAAAAAAAGTGTAAAGGACTGATGTTGTCCTCACTTGAAGGCAAGTATTCTCTCGGAGGGAACGGGTCACTGTGCCACAAAGTGGACTTGAAAGTCTAGAACCCAAGTAACTGCTTTATTTATTAAACCTGACTCCAAAGGTATAGAAATAGAATCAGTTCTAGTTCCCTCAGGAATGTACAAATAGTAATGAAATGAAATAATAAAAGAATAAAGAAATATATTGAAAGCTCACCTGACTCCAAAGGTATAGAAATAGAATCAGTTCTAGTTCCCTAAGGAGTCAGTATAGCGTGGAGCGTCGAGTGAAGGAAAAGGAAAATGTTAAGTCTAAGGATTAAGTATCTAAGTTATGTATATGTTTATAGTAAGTGTGATATGTTTGTAATGATGCGCGCATCATTACAACCATCACATTTTAATTTTGTTCTTCAAAATCTTAGGGCCCGTTTGGCTACACTTGTAAAACTCTATAACATGTTATAGATCACCGAATCTAAAAAGCCTTTTTCATTCAAAATCTTTTATGAGTTTTGAAAAAGAGGTGATGTTTGGCAACAATATATGATCAATATATCTGATCATATATCACGAATATTCAACTGATCTGAAAAACAGGATCTGAAAAACAGCCTTGAGGCTGTTTTTCAGACAAAAAACACTTTTTGCCCCTCTCTTGATTGAACTTTGTCAAGTTCAATCACGATCGTGGCGATCTTTTGATAGCTGTTTTGCACAACTGGTTGGTAAATCATATAACCAAATTACACTTTTTGGGAAACGCAGCAGAACGGGCCCTTAGATAATTTAAATTTTGAAAACCTTTTTCTTTATCCTTTAATTTTTTCTATTTTCAATTCCATTTAAATTATGGACAGCACTATTTGGTAGGGCTGTGACCCGGCCCTGGCCCCGCCTGGCCGACTGTGCCCGCTGGTTTTCTGGAAGCAGACAGTACGCGCCCTGACACACCAAAACCTACTTAATAAGGGTCATAAAAGCCCTGTGAGCACCCAGGCGGCTGGGTCCACCCCGGTACCCCTCATATCTTTTGCTGAATAATCTAAAAAATCGCCTTTTGAGTTGGGTCCCATGGCTCTCTCCAAGGTCTGAGTAGGCTGATATAAGGTTTATGTACAATTTTATACACCTAGATGTGCAACAAACGCCAGAAATCCCCCCCTACGGCCCCTTTTACCTCTTAAAATCAATTCAGGGTGTGCCCTGGCTGGCCCTGAGTGTTTTCTGGATCCCCTCGGGTCTGCCCAAGGCCGGGCAATACCCTGGGGCCGCCCCGTCACACTCAGGGCCGGGTCACAGCTGTACTATTTGGCGCCCGGTTGAATAATCCCCGAAGCCCGGTTTATTCGGGGCTATACCCGTGTTTTTTCACACACCCAAGCCCATTCCAGCCAAATTTCTGCGCAGCCGCAGCCAAATCCGGGCTCAACATCATCTGACAGCCCCTTTTCATTTGTCCTCATTTGGAAAATCATCCAGTACTCTAAAACTCCAGTTGATACTAAGAATCATTACATTCATAGATATTGGGACAGGAACAAAATTTTCTTCAGGTAGAACTCAATCTTGTACAGCAAGTCATGTCAATTTTGATCGTTTCTGATCTTAATGATCATAAATTTTAAACGCAAACCAGGTTCGCTTACAAAACCTGACAAAATCCACCATTAGCGTGAATTCCAAGTTTTGATCATGGCAGAAACCCTTCACTGCAGATCAATTCACATTTTCCATCATGATTCATTTTCAAATGCAATCATCTACGTGCTAATCTGCACTCGCCTGATTGTTGAGCCAACCAAGCCTCCTCTTAATTAATAGCCCCTAAAGGCCTCCATACACCTTTTCAAAGCACCCTATCTTGGTTCAGCTGAACATCACACTGCTCCCAGTTGATGGCCAAGGACCACCATGTGTACGCTTGCTCACCACATTTCAGCCGTATGCATTTAATTGTATTAATATGCTTCACTCCGCCCAACAATTTAATTCCGCAGATGGCTCATTCAACTGACAAGACAATCTGTTCAAGACTTTCCTGATTTCAACTGTTTTGCTGAAAGGTATTCTTTTCATCTTTCCACTTTGTCTCACAGCTGCTGTTTGGGATTACTGACTATTTTTTTGTTGATTATTCTCTCATTATTTGTTTTAGGCCCGATCACCCCAAACTCTTCTTCTTAAGCGCATTTCTAGAAACATAGCTTTTTGTCCGTTCATGTCTAGCTTTTGTATGGAGGACTGTCTGTTTGTTTGATCAGTCTTTTTGATTTTGTTTCCTGATCACATCATGCTATCAATTATTTGGTTAGAAACACCTACTTCAAATTAATCAACTTGATACCTTTTCAAGATCGTAGATTTGAAGGTCTGGACAAAATTGTACTGATTTTGAGATCTCTTAGTGAGTTGATCTTTACTCGATGTTTCTCTGATATCATATTGACTGTTGTTTTACTCCAATTCTTGAGTCCTATGATCATCTTTCACTCAACCTACCCAATCAATCAATCAGTCTAGCCTATAATATACCCAACAACTGAGGATTGTTTGAACAAATTGAATGCATTTTCCCAGTGCTCATATGCTTCTAACATGTTTTCTGGATACAGACCTCACAAGTTTCTGGCTTCCTTTGGATTGGACAAGTTCAAGCCGATCGAAACAATCACGTAGCCCGATGCCCAAAAGGTCTTTATCGTTTTTCTATCAAGTGTCGATTTCAAGAAATGTGATGTTGATATATATCTTACCCATCTTTGAAAATGATAGCAATCAATAGATCCGAAGCTCTGATATCACAAAATCTGAATAATACCTTTTGATGAGTCGGGACGTCTATCTGAAATCGATCCGACAGATTGGAATGGTTCTACTTTATTTCTAGAACATCCTTTAGAAGAAAAGTGTTGGATCTTACAATAGAAGATCCGTACTCTTCTCAACCACGCTCCAATGGATCATAAGCCATTTAACCAAATCAAATTGAATGAACATCAAAACATTAGAAACCAATGTTTACATTCTCACTGTTATAACTCCTCGATCCCTCCACTTCCAGGAATGGCGCTACCTTTCAAAGCATTTCACAGCATACGAGCATATTTGACAAAGTGATAATTCAAATTTATAACAAAACAAGTCGATCGATCAAAATATAACACAAAAGACCAAGAAAGACTACTCGAAAACCAATCTTCCCATCAAACATTGAACCTGGTTGATCACACTGCATATATACATGACCTCATCATCATCATCATCATGATCGATGAAAACCAATCTAATGAAATCAATCAGACTAATGGTATCACTCTCACAAATCATCATCATCATCATGACTTGCCTTTCAAATCTTGGATTGACATTAGTCAATGTACTATTGTTTATCCAAACTCTCATCTCATTAAACCCAACTCAAATCAAATCTTATTGCGTAAGCAACAAAACATTGACTGCAACCACAACCAGCAGCAACAGTACAAGAACTACAAGAACAATTCATTAAACCTACTTTAGATTGATATACGAGTCCTTCAACTTCTTCTGCTCAGACTTTGACTTCGCCTGATCAATCTTCTTTTTTAACTCTATCAACTCCTGTTTGTGTAAGTTCAATCTCAGACTGTAATCATCATCTCAATTTCAAACCAATGACAGAACTCTTCTTTTTTGGATTCAAGCGTAATGATCCATTACCGATCACTAGAACCAAGTACAGTCTATTAAATGAATTTCAGTCCCAGATCTCTACTACAGAACACGCGTTAAGCACTGAAGAAAGTGATGAGATATTTAAATTTGTAGTAGAAGAAGGAACAGAAGATTTAAGAACAAACCAATCGATCAAATCAATCAAAACTGGAATTAAACAATCTAGAAATGATCTTTCATTACTTTCAATGAATGAACTTCATCAGTTAGAGCAAAAACCTTCATCAGCACCGGAAATCAAACTAGATCAAGGGAATTGAAAGACTCAAAAATTGGTAATTTGTTCTGCTGGATCAAAAAGCTGTTGAAGTTTGGGTAATCATTTTAATGATTTGTTGATGTTGATAGAGTCATGATGTTACATATGATCGGCTAGGATTAATTTGATTGGCTTTTCATGGTAAGTCGAACTTTTTAGAGACAATTGACATCTGTTGGGTTATAGTTTACTTATTGGGTTGGGTTTTCTGCTGTAGAGCTGTCGATCCAGGAGTATCTGATTGAGTGGCAAGAATCTTTCACGAATGAAGCTCCAAGGTAAATAATTTATTATGATCCATCAAACAATCTTGATACTCATAATTTGTTTAACTAGATACAATCTGTGTTGATTGAGGCAAATCATCTTCAACTGAAGATTGTATCACAGTCTCTAATTGCTCTTATCGCAAGCCCGTCTTCCAAACTTCATATTTTTGTTCTGACAGATCTTCAGAAGATGTCACAATAATATAAACTTGATCCCTTTTCTGACCGTGTATCACCTCAGAAACACTCCACAGTGGGTAATTTCATTGTATGCGTACCAGTTGAATGTTCCAGATTGGCATTTTGAAAGATTCACATCAAATAATTGAAGAACCTCAAGAATTGGAAAATCAGACTGCAAGAGAATCTACAATTTCAAAGTCAAAAATCATTGCTTACAATTTCACTTCAATTATCATCAACCAGTTTCATTCTGATAAAATTCTGCCCTTCATCATCTAGAATGTTCTTGGTTGAAGGAGATCAAAGATTGATACATTTAGAAGGTATCTGATTGATTTATGAATTCTCATTGATCTTGCTGTGGTCATCAAAAGACGTTGAAGCTGATCATGGAGCTTTAAAGCATTGTCTAGCATCAAGCATGACTTTCAGCATACACCTCATCAAGCTACTTCTTCATGAACCAAATCAATTGGTGGCTGTGATTTTATCCAGATTTGGCTTCATTTCCCACACTTATAGCCTGTCCTGTTGGGTTGGAATCAAATTCATTGGATGGGTTGCTCCACATTTGACTTGAAATGCATTTGAGCTCCAAAATACAGCTACATGCCTTTAGTAATCAAACTATTCAACTAAATCTAAAAAGTTCAGTGTGGTAGCCACCACAAGAATGTTTTCTCATAACTACAGAATTTGAGTAGTTGTTGAAATCAGACCTCATGCAATCAAAAGGCCCAGTGCGGCGCCCGCCGCCCAAATGGCTAGTTTTCTTTATGATTTGAAACATTGACTGACTCTAGTCTCTAATCACCGTTGTTTTTTTGTTTTTTTCATCTTTACTGATTTGCTTTCCTCTGTTCTGTATCAAGATTTGATCAGATTTATAAACCCAATTGTTTGTTATCATATCATCATATCACCTTGATTTCTCTTCAACCTTCCTATGTGTGTTATAGTTTTTCTTCTCTTTCTTTGCACAAGTGAAAGCAACACAATTTTTCTTTGAGGTTAAATGAAGTGTTTGGATAATTTGAATCATTCATTTCTATATCAAGATACATCCAAGAAGAATGGAGAGGTATGGTGTGATGGAGACAAGCAAAGGATCTTTCTTGAAGAAATAGTTGGTTTTAAATAGCAGCCTGGTTTGAAATTAGATGCAGCCCGGTTGAATTCCAAACCGGGCTGCAAATGTGCGACTATCCGACATCCGGGCTTTGGGTCTTAAAAATCGGGCGCCAAATAGTGCTGTCCTTAAACTATGAATAAATAAAAACAACTTTCTATCTTTTTACATTTTATGTTTAGTGTTTCAGTTTCTCACACTTATCATATTCAATATTTTCATTCTTTGACTACTAATACGACTGAAAAAAATTTGCAGTTATTTAAATTATTACCATTTTTGGATCATCCTGAAGAAAATCCTTTTACTGTGATATCATTTACATTGGAAATAATTTACTTTTTATTGCATATGTTGAAGCTTTTCATCATTTTAGAAATCTTTCAGAAGAGATTTCACCAGATACTTCAATATTTTCAGAAAGTGACAAAGAAATTTGAAATGGATCCCTGGAACCCTAGAACTGGAAATACCAACATCTCTCCTTTATCTGACATGCAGAGTGTAAGACCTGATCCTCATCAACTACCAACAGATCCTGAAGTCAAACAATTACAGAATGAAGTTCATCAACTTCAATCACAATGTTATGAACTGAACACGTGACACTTTAAGATCACATGTCACAGATTTAGATTATCACTTGTGACTGCGCCACGTTGTACTTTCTCTTTCCCTTCATCCAACAATCATCATAAGGAAAGAAGATACTAGATAAAGAACCCTGATTGACTCCTTCAACCCCGTCGCCATTACCCCTGAGACCCGCCCTTAACATATTGTCGGATCTATAGACGGGATTCGAGGACTAGACTTTAATTGATTTAGAACGAACAAGACTGATCGAAAAGAACCGAACTCGTAGATCTAGAATTCAGGAAGATTAGAAACCTTATATTGAACTTTATCATTACCCCGGATTAGATCATATTGATCAAGACCCGCAGATACAGCAAGAATCAGAACACCTTCGAATATCATACCAGATAACCCCGCTCAAACTACGATTCCCCGATTCCCACGATTACCCATCAGCTAAAACCTTAAAAGACCTCACCCGTACCAAACCTTATCGCCACAACGTCTCCTACGTACAGAACCCCACTTGACGACACCGAATCTGAGAACGATACAGCGATTCCTTTCTTCGACGCCGATTCTGCATCTTCCAGCGCCGAATTTAATTGTACCGAGCCTGAGATGAATGCCCTTGAAGACATCCAACGCCAGCTGGCGGAGATCACTGCTTCTTTAGCAGAAGAACGCATCTTACGCGGACAGGCTGAAGCCAGATTCCAGCAGTCCGAGGCTTGTCTGGCTGCGATCGAATCCCAGAGACAATCTACTACGAGTAGTACTCCTGCACCTACAGCCCCAGCTCCACAAGCTGAAGCGCCTGTCCCTAAGGGTCCTAAAGTGGCGGCGCCTGACAGATTCAGCGGAGTTCGAGGCGAACCGGCCGAGATCTTTGCAAGCCAAGTCCAACTCTACATGTTGGCGCATCCTTATCTGTTCCCTAACGATAAAACCAAGGTGGTCTTCGCTCTGTCGTACCTCACTGGCGCTGCTAGCAGCTGGGCCCAACCCCTTACCAAAGAACTGTTCGACGAATCCACGTCTCACCTAGTTACCTTCAAGCGTTTCGTCACGAACTTTAAGGCCATGTATTTCGATACGGAGAAAAAGGCAAAGTCGGAACGTGCTTTACAAAGCCTGTCTCAGAAGACCAGTGTAGCCGCGTACACCCACGAGTTCAAAATACATGCGACCTCTACGGGTTGGGAAATGCCTACCTTGATAAGCCAGTACGAGCAAGGATTAAAGAAAGAAATCCGAGTGGCAATGGTGATGGCTCAAGACACCTTCACGTCTATTGAGCAAATTGCAAACTTTGCCATCAAGATCGACAGCAAACTTCACGGTGCTGCTCACACGTCTTTTCATACGCCAAGCGCCACCACTAACGTACACGACCCGAACGCTATGGACTTATCAGCTGCTTATGTACGCCTGTCTGAGGATGAACGCGCAAAGCGCATGAGAGCTGGATTGTGCTTTAGGTGTAATGGTCATGGTCACATATCATCTGATTGTCCTGATAGAAAAAATCAAAGAAGAGGGAAGGGGAAAGGTGGATACCATTCTAAAATAGCTGAATTAGAGGTGAAGATAGCGGCATTGAGCAATAGAGAGGAGAATCAGAGTAGTAGTTTGGAGAATAGTAGTAGAGCTGAGACGTCAAAAAATGGAGGAGCTCAGGAATGAAGGTTGTGCCAATCCTGAGCCAACTGGGGGATTCAAGGAATGTTAGTGTGGGTTCTAGTAGATTGTCAACATGCAATTTAAATGATCCGCGTATCTTTTTACACACTTTCTTGTCCACGTCCCAAAACCCCCGAGCCACAACAAACTTCTCCCACCCAGCTACGTTCCTCATCGACTCTGGAGCCACACATGATGTGTTGAGCGAGTCATTTGCCACTAACTACGGCCTCCTTGAAGGAGCAGACCCCAACGACCAAATGATCACGGGATTTGACGGCTCTGAGAGCAGATCCACCTTCAAGACACACCTTTTCATTGCATCCGACATTTAACCCACCCCTTTTGTCATTACACGCCTTAAGGACTCTTACGACGGCATCCTGGGGATGCCTTGGATCAAGACTCATTCCGACCTGATCGACTGGCAGCACGGCACCATCAAATGCGCCAACACCCACATTGCAACCGTGTCGACGGTTTTGTATTGCCCGACCAAACCCTCAAAAGGCCATGAAATGGACCCCATGGGGGACGCTAGGAGCAGTTACGAGGGGATGTGTGTCAGTTCTGACACATTAGCATCCCCGCAATGTGAGTTCGACACCATTTCCCATAAACCTTGTAGTGAAACAGATAACAACCCGATTTTCCCCGCTAGTGTTCCAGAAAACCCCAACAAGGACGACATCAATCGAAAACCGCTCACAAATGGATTATGTACTGACATGACTGACACTGATATTGCGACCGTACCCACGGTTTCGTCCATTCCAACCCAGAACCCCAACGATCCCAAGATGGAGCCTGAGGGGCACACTAGGAACAGTGACGAGGGGGCTAACATCTTATTAGAGGTTTTGATGCCCCCGCAATGTGAGTCTGCTATTGCCCTTTCACCCATTCATTCTCGAACAGCTGGCAAGCCTCTTCATCATCTGAATAGTTCTTACACACACCTCGACGCCGCGAAGACATCATGGTCCACGTCCGCTCGACTAGCTGCTGACGAGAAGAAATCCGCTCCAGTGAAGACTCTTGAAGAAATGATCCCGTCATATTACCACCAACACTTGCACATGTTCAAGAAATCTAACGCACAACGGTTACCACCACGAAGAAGATACGATTTTCAAGTGGACTTGATACATGGGGCGC